TTTTGCTTCATGTATTTTTTTTTTTAAAGATTTTATTTATTTATTTGTCAGAGAGAGAGAGAGCACAAGCAGGGGGAGCGGCAGGCAGAGCAGGCAGAGGGAGAAGCAGGTTCCACACTGAGCAAGTAGCCTGATGCAGGCAGGACTCAGTCCCAGGACCCTGGCATCATGACCTGAGCCAAAGGCAGATGCTTAACCGACTGAGCCACTCAGACATCCCTATTTATTTATTTTATTATTTTATTTATTTATTTTTAAAGCAATTCGAATGCTTTTTTTTTTTTTTTAAGATTTTATTTTTTTAAGTGATCTACACCCAACGTGGGGCTTGAACTCACAACCCTGAGATCAGAAGTTACATGCTCCACCAACTGAGCCAGCCAGGCACCCCTGTATCCTTATATTTAAAGTCAGTTTCTTATAGGCAGTTTACAGTTGAGAGTTGAATCTTGCTTTTTTATCAAGTGTGATAATCTCTATCCTTTAAGTACAGTGGTAGATAATTTGCATTTGATGTAATGTTTGATAGAGTTGTGTTTTAATCTACCATTATGCCATTCATTTCTTATTTGTCCCATTTGCTTTGCTCATTTCCCCCTGTCTTTTCCTGTTTCCTTTTAGATTAATGGAGTATTTTATTTCCACAATAAGCTTATTATCTATATCTCTTTTCTTTGGCTTATTTTTTAGTGGTTGCTATAAGATTTATAATATTCATCTTTAATTTAGAACAGTCTATTTTCAAATAATATTATACTGCTTCATGTATAATGTAAGAAACTTATAAGAGTATACTTCCATTTCCCCCCCCTTTTGTCATTTGTGCTTCTGTTGTCATACATTGTACTTCTACATATATTATAAGTTCTACAAAAACTTGTGGGGTCTTTTTTTTTTTCCTTTAAATAGTTAACATTTATAAGAATTAAAACACGAGAGAAAAAATTCTTTTATATTTACCCACATATTTACCATTTTTGTCACTCTTCGTTCTTTTTTTTTTTTTAATATTTATTTATTTGTTTGACAGAGAGAGGGAGAAAGCACAAGCATGGGGAATGGCAGGCAGAGGAAGAGGGAGAAGCAGGCTCCCAGCTGAGCAGGGAGCCCAATGCGGGGCTTGATCCCAGGACCCTGGGATCACGACCTGAGCCGAAGGCAGATGCTTAACGACTGAGCCACCCAGGCTAAGTCTAAACTTAGACAATCTAAGTTTTCATCTGGTATTATTTCCCTTTGCTTGAAGACCATTCATTCATTCATTCATTCATTCATTTATATAAGCTCTACACCTAATGTGGGGCTTGAACTCACAACCCTGAGATCAAGAGTTTCATACTCCACTGACTGAGTCAACCAGTAGCCTCTCTTTGTCTACTTTTAATATTTTCTTACCACCTTTTTTCCAGCAATTTGATTATGATATGCCTTGCTTTTTTGTTTTTTTAAATATGTGTGTGTGCGGCAGGAGGGGGGGCGGTCTATGTGTATGTATTTATCTTGCATGGGGCTTTGTTGGGATTCTTGGATCCATGGGTTTAGAGTTTTCATTAAATTTGGAAAATTTCAGCAACTGTTCCATTTAATATTTTTTCTGTCACTCCCCCACTTTTTCCTCTTGTAATCCTATTATATATATGTTAGACTACTTGCTATTATAGGTCACTGAGACTGTACAGTTTTTTCTAGCCTTTTTCTCTCTGTGTGCTTTAGAAAAAGGCTAGAAAACTTTTATTATTATGTCTCCAAGGTCATGATCTTTTCTTCCACAGTGCCTAAACTTTTTTTTTTTTTAAGATTCATTTATTTGTTTTGAAGAGAGCAAGTGGAGGGGGGGTGGAAGGAGGGCAGAGGGAGAGACAGAATCTCAAGCAGACTCCCTGCTGAGTGTGGAGCCTTACGTGGGGCTGGGTCTCACAACCCTGAGATCATGACCTGAGCTGAAATCAAAAGCTGGATGTTTAATGGACTGAGTCACCCAGGTGCCCCTTTTGTTAATCCCTTTCAGACGTTTATTAAATTTTATTTCAGACGTTCTATTTTTCACCTCCAGAATTTCCACTTGGTTTTGTTTATATCTTCCATTTCTCTCTGTATTATGTTTATTCTTCTTTTAAATACCTTAACATAGCTATAATGGTTGTTCTGGCATACATTTTTGGTAATTCCATTACTGTTGTTATTTCTAATTGTTCTTAACTGACTGATTTTTCTCCTTGTCATGGTTCAATTTTTTAAAAAGATTTTATTTTTTTAAGTAAACTCTTACCCAATGTGGGGTTTAAACCCACAACCATGAGATCAAGAGTCACCCACTCTGCTGACTGAGCCAGTCAGATGGCCCATGGTTTAATTTTTTTTTTATTGGTTTCTTTGCATATCTTGTAATATATGATTGGATGTTGGGCATTTTGACATTTGTTGAGCATGGGAGTTTTCTTTCTTCCTTTAAAGAATGCTGACCTTTGTTCTGGTAGGAGTTGAATTATTAGAAGATCAGTCTGATCCTTTTGAAACTTATTTTATTTTATTACTATTTTATTTTTTTGAGAGAGGGAGCACTTGTACATGAGTGGGGGGAAGAGAGGGGCAGAGGGAGAGGGAGAGAGAGAATCTTAAGCAGGCTCCATGCCCAGCACAGAGTCCGGTGGGGCTTGATTTCACTACCCTGAGATCATGAGCAGAGCTGAAATCAAGTTGGATGCTTAACTGACTGAACCACCCAGGCACCCATTGAAGCTTATTTTATTTATTTATTTATTTATTTATTTATTAAAAGATTTTATGTATTTATTTGACAGAAAGAGAGAGAGAGAGCACAAGTAGGGGGAACAGCAGGCAGAGGGAGAGGGAGAAGCAGGCTCCCCGCCGAGTGGGGAGCCCGATGCAGGGCTCGATCCCAGGACCCTGGGATCATGACCTGAGCCAAAGACAGATGCTTAACGACTGAGCCACCCAGGCACCCCGAAGTTTATTTTAAAGTTTTGTTATTGTAGGTCTAGAGTAGCCTTTATTCTTGGACTAATGTCCTGTTAGTGAGATGTGACTCTGGGGTCTTTACTGAATATCTCAGGTGCTCTAAGAGGTTTCTGCACTGATCAGAACTCAAATGTGTCCCAGATCTAGGTAAACTCTGGGAATTTTTCAAATGGCAGCCACTGATTATAATTTCCCAGGATTGTTGTGAGGATTAAATTAAATAATGCTTATGATCGGAATATTGCAGGAGGTATGATCAGGAGGTCATGAGGGACTTCTGGAGTGCTGGCAATATATTTTTTTATCTGGGTTACATTTCACTTTATAACTATTTGTTAAACTGAACATATTCTGGGTATATGTTACATATCACAGTACAAATTTAAAGAAAGAATGTAAATAATAATAAATAATGCTGACATATAGCTGGTACTTAATATATGTTAGTCACCCTGATTAAAAGAGATAAGATATGCAAAACACCTGGCACAGAATCCAATGTACAGGGTCGCCTGGGTGGCTCAGTCGGTTGAGCGTCTGCCTTCCACTCTGGTGGAAGGGAAGCCCCACGTTGGGCTCCCTGCACTGCGAGGGGGTGGGGGGACTGCTTCTCCCTCTCCCTCTGCCTGCTGCTCTCCCTGCTTGTGCTCTCTCTCTGTCAAATAAATAAATAAAATCTCTAAAAAAAAAAGAATCCAATGTACAATGGATTCAGGATCGTTTCCTGTAAATAAACTTTTTATGCAAGTATAACATACATAAAGACAAGTACAAAAAGCATAAACACACAGCTCGGTGAATTCTTCCCAATGTGAATACACCCAAGTAACCAGCAACTGTGTCAAGAAATAGAACTGAATTGCTGTTGTTAATATAAAAGGATATGGAATGGAATTTTTCTAGAGTCTCAGAATTGTGGTTAAATTCTCAAAGCTGGTGATAAGGATAAGTACCTCTCCTTTTCTAAAGAATGTCATTATACATACCTTCAGGGCTTCCTAAAAGATGACAGCTGGCCCTGTGACTAATCAGCCTGCCATTTACCTCCAGCCTCATAGGAAACTAAGATTTCAAAGGTGGCTTATTTCAGAATTTGCCTATGAGGATGTGATGTGATTAAGTGATGGGCTGACAAGTAATCACAGTGCCTGTACTTCCATAGAGCCAGAGTTATGGGCTAAGAGAGTTAGGGGGAGCCTGATATACAGACCCTGAAGTTTGAGGTGGAAGGTAGTGATGGGGTTAGGGGTGGTCCTAGTGAAATAAACACTGGTATTTTCTTCTCCCTTGGAGAATTCTGAAAGGAGAAGGCAGGCTAGAGCAGACCTTGATGGAGGGGCAAAGAGAGAGGGCAACAGTTTGGTGGGGCAAGGATGTGTGAGCTCCTTGGTGAAGTGGACTCTGCAGTAAGGGGTGGGCTTTGAGCTGCCTTGTTGGGATCCTGTCCCGCAGGGCTAGCTGCCAGGACTCTAGCAGTAAGGCAAAGTGGGGGTTATCTCCAGGGGTCAGAAGCCAAGGGGGTGGATCACAATAAATTAGTGAGAGAAGACATCACCCACATCAGGGAACCATGCACTACAAAGGTACCCGTGGGCCTTCTGAAGAACCTACAGATGCTTCCTCTCTGAAGACCTAGCATTTGAAGTACTCATGGATGTGACGACGCTCTCCCTGGCTGGGCCTAAGCCACACCACAGGAGGGAGCGGCATTCAGGCGGAAGGGGCCGCTCTTCTCGCTCTGCCCACCGCTCCTCACCTGTGCTCCCCGCGCACTGGCAGCCTGTGGAAGGAGGAGGTGGGGTTGCAGGTTGGGGGAGCGTGTGGGGCTGGTGAGTCCGGCGCCCTCTGCCTCCGGGGCCGGGTCCTCGTTCGCAGCGCTCTCCCAGGAGACCGCGTGTCACCCTCGCGGCGGTGTGCGGCTGGAGGGCCGTGCAGCTGCGCGCGCAGCCTTAGCGCCGGCGCGCGTCTCTCGCGGCCCTCGGTGGTGCCCCCGCAGCGCCTGAGGCGGCGTCGGGGTCGCTCAGGAGCGGGAGGCCGAGCGGAGGCGTGGTTTCCCCTTCCCAGCGACCCGCTGAGGCGGCAGCGGCGGCGGCGGAGTGTCGGAGGAGCCGGGTGGAGTAGGTAAGGGTGGCACACCGGTCCCATTCTGGGGGCGGCCTCGTCGTCCCGCTGTTTCCCGGGCGCACCGCGTGTCGTCTTTGCCGCGTTGCATGCGGCCGTGTGAGCGATGGTGGTGGGTTGAACGCGGCCTTGTGAGCTATGGTGGCGGGCAGAGCCAGCCACGCGGCGCTTTGGCCATCTTTGAGAGCTACCCTGTGGCCGATATGTGTGTACGCTTGGGCTCCTTTCCTGCCCGAAAAGCGAACTTCCAGGCAACACGGGATGCTCAGTAAGACTTCAAGGAGACGAGGAAGGCAAGGGGACGAGCCTGTGGCAGCACGGGGTTTATGGCTCCCACCGCAGACGCTTGCGATGTCCTAGGCTTGCCGGTACCGCACCCTTGCCCAACGTCCTGGCGTCTCTGAATGCCTTCCCGCCGGTGGGGACAGTCGGTGGCGGTGACGTGCCCTCGCGAGAAAGCCTTCTCCACGGACCTGAGGGCGTGCCCTGGGGTGCCAGACCCCCCCCCCCGGCGCCGCCCCTCCTCCGCGGAAATGCCCCCCCCACGACCTACCCTCGGGTGTGGGCCGAGCCCCTCTGTTTCCCCCGAGGGGTCCTCCCGCCGGGTGGGGCCCAGTGCTCTTCCTGGCCTGAAAAAAGAAAAGAAAAGGAAAAAAGACCTAACACTTAAACATCGGTCCACTGTTAGTCAAGAGATCACAAAATGTACCAGACTAGGTTAAAAGACCTTTCCCTCCCCCCTAACCCAATCCCGCAGGAGCCAGGAGCGGTGGATGAGGTAGCCAGAGAAATGGCACACCACACATGCCTTCTTATCCAATGTGGATCCTCCAGCCACAGGTCAGGCCTGAGGGGTGGGAAGTATTGAATTAGATGTAAGGTGTTTTTGTTTGTTTGTTTACTATGGACTGGTTTTGTGTGTGTGTGTGTGTGTGTGTCTGTTTTTTAAAGGGCCCCAGATGAAGCTATTCATATAACCTTTGGAGATCCTGGAAAACTTCAAGATCTTTCTGGGATGTTGGTTGTCCAGGGGCTTAAAAAGGCACATTAAAAGACACTGTTAGGAGACAAAGCCGTTTCCTGTTTGTTTCTCTTGTGTGTGTACCCTTTGCTTCAGCTGGGGTGTGACAGAGTGTGAATTTCTCCTCCTTTATAAGGTGCACTTTTCCAGAGATTAGAAGTCACCGAGTCCTGTCTGTCTCCTGTGGACAGTCCTAGGTAAATGCAGGTAGATTTTCTCTCTTCTCTTGCATTATCAATCACTGAAGTATTCTGTATGTGAGGCTTTTCCTGATGACACTGTTTAAAAATCCACAGTTCTTCTTCTACCAGTTGCATTTTAAATTCATGCCTTCGATATAGTGAAGGAATCCTGGGCCCCTTGGACTTCAGTCCCCTCTGTCTGGGATGTGGTCTCCTGGAGTTGCGGGATCCACCCTCTTCAGTATCTTTCTGCTCTGTTTAGCACCCAGCAATGAGCTTTCAGGACTATTTGTTTCATCAGTTTAGAATTTTCTTTCCCAACTCTGGAGAGATGTGCTTGGTCCCTTCCACAGCGGAAAGATCGGCCTCTTTGCAGGGAAGGCATGGGGGATGGGGGAAAGAGATGAGAGAAGGCAAGAGACCGGCAGGAATTGATGGAACAAGAGGAGGGTACATGTGACAACAAGGGTGTCAAGGAGACAGAAGGAAGGTACGGAGAAAGGGTTTGGAAGGAGGACCAAGGCAGGTGCATGAAATTTTTGACTGAAAATGGTATTACATCAACTAAAACACACGGTACTTAAAGAGTACAGTGTTGAAATTTTTTTTTTCTTAAAGATTTTATTTATTCATTTGAGAGAGAGAGAATGAGAGACAAAGAGCATGAGAGGGAGGAGGGTCAGAGGGAGAAGCAGACTCCCTGCCGAGCAGGGAGCCCGATGCGGG